ATTTGTGTGCTTTCGCCCCTTGGAGGCATCTTGTTCGTGTCCAAACTGTAATCTTCATATTCAATAAACACCCCTTTTTGGGACTTTGTTCCAAGAGGTTTGTCCCTTACACAATCGTCTGATCCATTTTTAATTATTAGCGAGTAACCGCGCGAAACAAAATGAATATATAAGTCGAGAGAATAGTAAATAACAAAAACACATTCCAATGACAACAGTAAGTTCCCACAATTTTATATAGCTGGTAAATATGTGGATATAAGGATCCGTTTGATTGCAATGGTGGAAAAATGAGTGGAAAGAAAATGTTTTATAGGGAATTGATTTTCCTAGAAAATGTTTTACTGGGAATTGTAATTAATTGTGTTTGATTGGTATAATTTTCCATGGAAAATGTTGAAAGTTTGGTATCCATTTGGCTTCTTTTTTTATGGAATTTGTCCATTAAAGTGATAATTTTTTCTTTATTAATTGTAATTAATTGTGTTTGATTGGTATAATTTTCCATCTGGAAAATGCTGAAAGTTTAGTGTCCGTTTGACTTTGTTTTTTATGAAAATTGTCCATTAAAATGATAATTTTTTCTACCACTGGGTTTAAAATTTGTTCAAATTGTAAAACAAAATTTGAAAAGAAAAATTGAAAGAAAAAAAATTACCACACCGAATATCATTCGTTTGACTTTGTTTCGTATGGAAGTTGTCAATAAAAGTGAAATTTTTTTTTACCATTGTATCTAGAATTTGTTCCCATTGCAATAAAAAAAAGGTGGAAAATATTTTCCCACCAAATAAGTGGGAGTGGGAAAACAAAATCAAGTTTTTGTGCATCAAATGATTATACCTAGAAAAAGGTGGAAAACATTTTGCTAGGAAAATTTGTGTTATCAAACACCCTTAATTGACTAAAGTTAGAAAATATTTTTATTTTCCACCCATTTTCTAGACTATCAAATAGACCCTAATTCATAAAGTTCCCAGAACTTTATACAGGTGGTGAATACGTGGATATAACTCATATTATGATTAAATATTTCTTTCCAGAAGGCATTGATTTACACGTAATAACTTCAAAACATTGACCATAATAGCATGTGACGTTCATAAGGAATCCGAACATAAAGTTAATAGCAATATAACATCATCTAACAAGTTAATTTTACACACACTCGATCGGGATTTAGCTAAGAAATTCTGCAAACTTAATATATAATGAATTCGATAGATACAATTCGATAATGGTTAAGAAGC